TTTGGGATCTCGCCAGTAGATCGTTCCCTGCTCCTTTCCCTCTTTGACATGCCTCCCCCTCGGTATGTCGCCATCCTCGGCGACCGCTCCAGATCAGGAAGACTTAGCCCCTCTGCCCTCTTGCATATCACTGAGTATAACTCCTTTGCTGCTGCCACTCCTGGATAAGGGTGATAAAAATGGCATGAGGCTTCTGGTGTGCCCGGTTCCATGAAAATTTTGCCATCTATTGTCCGAGCCGTCGCCGTTGTTACTACCTGCTCCCTGCCGCCATCTTCTGGACCGCATCACCAAGCGTCTCCCAGAGTTCCACCAGCCACCCACTCCTTCTCGATCGACGCATTTATAGGGGGCCATGCTGTGACGATTCTTCCTCCACTTTCTAAGTGGTTCTTTGCGGTCTCGAGGAATGTCCTGGATCACGCTTTTGTTCCCTCTCCTTTCAATAGGGTACACGATGACCCATGTCAAAAAAAGGTCCACTCCCTCAGTGCTTCCTTTAGCTTGTTGTAGGACATGACTACCCTCGTGGTCAAGCCTCCCCGTGGCCCATCATCTTCTAACAACGCGGCCGTTTGCGGTCCTGCAAAGCCTGTAGGGCATTGCTTCAGCGTCCTCGTTTGACGAAATTCTTGTTGCGCATCCTCCATGACTAGTGCGAAAGCTGGACGGTAGAAATCGATGATGCAGTTCTGGTCGATGGGCTCGTGTTTGTGAATTTCCTTCGTGGTGCATATAAATTCTGTCCATTCTGTACAAACAGAATATGCTACCTTCAAGACTCTTCGGAGTGCCTCGGTGTCCAGCGATACGGCACGACTCTTGAACAGCTCCACATTCTGAGCCATGCTCAGCTCGCTGCGTATGAAGATCGAAGCTGCTTTCTAGGCCGTCCAAGAGTCTCCAAATGGTCGCTTGCCATACGCCCCCGGGAAGGAAATCCCTTCAATGTCTCCCAGCGTTGATTTGGCGAAGCACTCGTCCAGACATTGGAATAGGAGGTGGCCCTTGTCGGCGGAACTGAGCAAAACTGCTCCTCTGAAATTTTCAACATGAGAACGACATGCCTTAACTCTAGTTTCTCTGACATCTGCTGTTTCGACGGGCTGGTCAGAAATTTCTTTTGGTACAAATTTCTTTTGGTACCAATCTCAACATATCAAACTGTATACGCACGGGTTCACTGTTTTCCCCGATTTTCGTCACTAAGGCAGAGTTGTCGCCTACCTCAATCACTCTGAATGGTCCGCCCACTCAACTACCAGTTTTGGGTGTGACTTCATACTTCGTTCATTGGGCGACCAAACATACACTCGATCTCCTGTTTTTGGATATGTCTTGCCCGCTATTTTGTTTTCTCTATCATACATCTTTTTCATTCGTTCCCTAATTCGGGCATTGTAGTCTTGCACCCTCTCATGCGATTCTGCGATCGCCTGAAGTATTTCTGCTTTGTAATCACCCAGCGCTTCGTCCACCATATATCGGCTTATCCCTGCATTTGGGATAATGTTTGAAGGAAACAGTGGGTCCATACCATGAAGAAGAAAATAAACCGTACAAAAAGCGTTCTCGCAATAGTTGCCGCTGACTTGTCGGCTACAGGGTACGCAGCAGCATATTTGGAAAAATGGTCGATCACCGTTACAGCGTATCTATTTCCACTGGATGTGGGCCTAACTCGAGGACATCTACGCCGACAATCTCGTACGGCTTTGAAGGTCACGATTGGCTTTCAGCGGTGGCACCATCCTTTCTCGTGGGTTATGTACAAAACATTTTTGGCACTCCCTTGTCCTATTGATGTCTTGCACCATCCCTGGCCAGTAAACTCGCTTAGACAAGTTTTTCAGTAGTTTCCTCGCACTGAAATGACCAGCGAACACCTCGCTGTGCGCTTCCTGGAACACTTCAAAGCGATGTTGTTTGGGAACTACCTGTCCTACAGCCTATATCATACCTTGGAACAAACGTCCCAACGCGGCTGTGTCCCGCATATGAGCTCGGTGACCCTCAACTTCTGACGCCTCTTATCAGATCTTATCAGCTGGTATCACTCCCTGTCACTCACCGATAATGTTCCCGTCACAGCCCCTATATCATCCTTGGAATCAACTTCCCACAGCTACTGGGACGGTCGCTATGAATTTCGTGACAGACACACGGACAGACAGACAGACAGACATACTTAGCGGATTATATATAGTAGGATCACTCCCTGCCACTCAACGATAATGTTCCCGTCACAGCCCCTATATCACTCCTTGGAATCAACTTCCCACAGCTACTGGGACGGTCGCTATGAATTTCGTGACAGACACACGGACAGACAGACAGACAGACAGACAGACAGACAGACATACTTAGAGGATTATATATAGTAGGATTGCTGGTGCTCTCGTGTGGCATGAATCTATCAGCAGTCAGCATAGCATCGCTTATCTGCTAAATTAGCAGCGGACAGGGGTAGGGGTCGTATCAAGACCCTTTTTTAATGGAGAGGGGGGTCGCGTTTAGCAGAAAATTGACACAACGCGATTTCGTGCTTAGTAGTTGAAGACGCGCCGTTTCATATAAGCTGTGCCTTGGGTCACTGCATGTTAACCAGCAGCTTCTAATGAAATAGTTCTCAGCACTGAAGGCTTCATAGCAACTTTTCCACTATATTTTCTGTTCAGAGCATGTGATGACTCATTATCTTCTCCTAACTCGCGGTCTTCATCAAGGTCTAGACGGACTGATTCTGTTAACAAGAGCAGAAAGGCCTGAATGAAGCAAATACGAATTACATTCATTTAGTTGCAATAAAGATAAACGTAACTTTAATTAAATCTATTGTCAATAAAAGGTTGGATGGTTTCTTGCTGGCATTCGTGATTTTTTCATCCGTTTGTGTTTTTGCTTCAGGGCGCTAGAATTCAAACTGTCGAAACGAAATATTTTTTGCATGACATAAGTTCTGTAGCTTCCTCACGGATCGCTCAGCATGCGAAATCCATTGTCTTGAACTCTTGGACTTGAAAGAGTTGAGCACTACAATGTGGTTACCGGTCGAAAATGAAAGTGGAGCAAGTAACTGGAGCAAACCTCAAACCAGCGGCCAGAAGCACGCAGAACAAAAACCTTCAAGAGAACTCCCGCGATCAAGTGTCGCGGGCAGTAATGTTTAATCATGAACGCGTAGCCCATAAGTAACTCCCAATAGAGAAAGAAGCAAAAAACCTTGAGAACGCTCTGAAAAAAGACCCCTTTAGCAGTGGGGCCGGCGGCTTGGACGGGTTTGTCGGATTTTGGCAAGCCAGTCAGCACAATACCGCTCCTAATTTGTGGCCCATTGAAGGTTTGCGACAGATTTTTCCGTCGCGAACCGTCGCAGAAATGGCCCGAATT